TTTGTAAGACCCACTTTTGTAGGTCAGTTGACACAGTAAGGATTCCCATCCCAGTGGCAGATACAGTGCTTCAGGCTGTCACCAACACCTGATACCCGATGAGGGGACACCCCATATACTGCTTATTGGGAAGTGGTGGTAGCATTCCTTCCATAATACACTGATGTGGGGAACCCAGGCCTGTAGGTATATGTCAGCAACACAGGAATCTGAGGGTCTTACAGAAGTCTCGTACCACCCAGGCTTGTCCTATTTCAGGGAAACTATTCAAAAGCAAAAATCAGGAATGTACCAGCCATTCCACACTCCATTAGAGTCGCTGCAGCTAAACCAAGAGGAACATAGACCTCTACAGCACATCTAACAATAACAGTTGTAAAAATAGAAACAGTGATGGCTGCAGACATCTTAGAGGGCTGCTATGGCCAGGTACCTCCCTAACCTAGGTGCTGTCATCATTTCCTTCCTCCAGAGCAGAGAGCTGTGGTGCTGGTTCCCAGCATCCATGTCAGGCAACACAGAACCATCTATGACTCCAGCTTCAGAGGATCAGATGCCTGTGGCTCTGCAAGCCACACACACACACACACACACACACACACACACACACACACAGAGAGAGAGAGAGAGAGAGAGAGAGAGAGAGAGAGAGAGAGAGAGAGAGAGAGAGACAGATTGAGAGAGAGAAATAATAAAAATAAAATCTTTTTACAAATAGGATAAGTTATGACTGCAGCTTCAAGTCGATGACGACAGTATATTTATGCGATAACTGGGAACTTCAAAAGTCAACAGCTGAAAACAACATTTTTTATTATTTTAAATTTAATATTGTTTCCTCTTCTTAGAATGCCTGCTTTCTTTGATTTTTAAAAAAATATACGATTTTACGGATGCTAAAATATGTTTAGTTTTTTATGTCATTTTTCTCAGCCAAAACATTGTTTTCTGAACAGTATTTTCCTTCAATCCCTGAAAGAAAATTACATCTCACAGATAACTCAGACTTTGTTAAATGCTGACCTTTGTAAGTTTTTCTTTATTTTTATTTTTGAAATGATTAAGATATGTAATCTACAGAATTGAAGATTGTAATTTTTTAAAGTAGGGAGAAACTTTAACCCTGTCATAATTGCTCTGCAAACCTTTCAAGGGTTCTGTGGTCGGTATGACTGATGAAAAGCCCTGATAGATGGCTAAGTATAGAGGGTCCCTTGTAAGCCTTGGGGTTTTGTCTTATTTCCCACCCACTCTGTCCCTCTAGTTTCAGGGTGATTTTCTACCCTGGGTTCGTGGGAATTGGGCAGGACACTGTCTGATTCATTCCATGAACATACTAGGGAGTTTGAAAAGGCAAGACAGCCAGGCCAGTTGTATCACTTCCTGTTGCCTGATCAAATGTCTGATGAAGAAATGGGAAGAACTAGGAGCTGCTGCTGGACACTGGGTATTTGCCTGGAGCTGACCCCAGTTTCCAGCAGTGCCCTTGTTCTCAGTGCGACAGTCAAGTGGCCCTGACCTCTGCTTTCCTTAGAAGTTCCCAGTGCTGGCCATGCTGCAGAGAATCTCCTGCAACAGAGCTGTGTGCTTGCTGCAACAAAGGCCACTTGTGGATTCCAGATAAAACTGCAGATGAAGCCTTGCTGACTCCTGGTGCTTGGATATTGGCTACACCAAGCACCTGAGTGTAGCAGTCAGTTTTGCTTTTCCATCCTCAAGACAGAGGGAGGGCCTGCTGTGTGAGTTCATGAGCTAGCCTGTCCAGCAGCCAGACAAGTGAGACTCTGTGGATAATTTTATGTACTGATAGAAAATGGATTTTGAGAAAAAGAACAGAGGAGGTAGGGAAGCTAACATTGCTTAGTTCATCCCAACAAGGGCTTATTAAATGGTGTCATAGCAGGGTCTTATGCTTTACATAAAGATCGAAAGACCAAGCTTCAGGCGAGAACTCAGCCTGGGGTGAGGTGGACCAGGACCACGGGCAGTAAGGCACAGGTGAGCATCCATATAGGGTTCCTTGGTTCTCAAATGGAGCCTGGGACAGGGATTTGTTGCGCTTCTCGGGTCCCCACAGGCAGGCTATGCAGCACAGCAGGCGAGAGTTCACGTACAGGTGTTCAGATCTCTGATGCATTCACTGTATAACACAGACACTCATTCTGTGTCTATACAGTTCTGTTTTCTCATCTGTGAAGTTCTTGTGGGACTGACATTCTGAGACCCTGGACAGTTGGAATAAGTCCAGCACCAGTGTTCTGCTCTGAGTTTGCAGACATGCCCAGGCCATGTGCTCTACATGTGCAGACAGGTGCCCAGGCCATGACCCACATCCTCTTCATGGTTTGCCTACAGACATTGATTTCTCTAGTGGCCTAAGAGCCAATCATGTGACCCTGGAACCAGGCCCAAGGCTTACTATATGTGGGAACATTTGTAGGTGGCTAGATACATCTTGCTGGTGAGATGGGCACAGGCTTATCTCATGGGAGACAGGGAACACATATGACTAGGGGCAAGGCTTATGTAGCCCATGGTAGCAGGCCAAGGTAAAACTACCACCGGTGAAAAAGAAGGAAGACCACATTGATGAGTTTGTGTATTTAGGGACAATAGTGTCTTTTAGTAGGAAAGCAACTTGGCCAGGTCTGTGTTTCATTCTTTGTCTTAAGTTCTTGCAATGTTACTAGATTTTAATGGATTTCTTACACTCCTGTTTGAAATGGAAAGAAATAGAATGTGTGTGAGTGTGTGTGTGTGTGTGTGTGTGTGTGTGTTTCATTCCTACCACTCTTTTTTACTCCATTTTTTTTCTTTTACATTCCCATGGGTATGTCATGTGTTGAAGCATATGCTCATTCATCTGCAGTGCACACACAGGCACAGTCAGAACACACCTTAGTTTGCCCTGTGCTCTTCTCCCCCACGGCAGATTATTTTATAGTAGTAAAAGGATCCTTTATTCTTGTCAGTGGTTATGTACTATTCTATTTCATGGTATACCTACCTATTTCAAGCTTGTTCCCTACATTCACATGATCTCCAACTTCAGTAACCATAGATGTGTTACAAGTGTGTCCTGTGTGTTTATGAGGTTGGCTGGGTCAAAGATTATGTGCATTTTCTTCCATTTTATTTTATGTATATTGGTGTTTTACTTGCATGTATGTCTGTACAGTAAGAATATAATACCTTCGGAGGCCAGAAGAGGGCATCAGATCCCATGGAACTTGAGTTATAAGACAATTGTGAACCACCATTTGGTTGCTGGGAATCAAACCCTAGTCCTCAGCAAGAGCAGACAGTATTATTAATTGCTGGGTGATCTCTCCAACTCCAATTACATACATTTTGATACTTGTCTCCAAGATGTTTTCATATCAGTCTAAAAGTCTCCAGCACTGTGAATCAGTTATGTATTTTTAGCAAGTTCTTTTGAACATTCTAAAGTTCTAAAGGATGGGTTGTGTGGAAAGCCAGTCTAAGGCAGCCTCCTTAGATACAACTGACCAGAATTGGAATGGAGATGGTTACCAGAGGCAAGTTGGTATCCATTGCATAGTGAGGCCTTTTGCTTCCATTCTGTGAAAAGCTGTTGGGTTGTGGGAATACATTCTGTTCATAGAAATGGGAGAGGCACTGTCTCTCTCACAGCAGTAAGAGGGATCTGGGGCACTGCCTATCAACCAGTGACTTAAACAGGGACCTGGCTCTTTTGATGCTGCTGCATGCACCTGTCCTTCTTCTACCTGACCAGGCAAGATAGAAGAAGGGGCTGGCAACAGAGGACATCTTGTCCATATCAGGCCTGCCTACACTCAGACACATTGCCATTCCTTGGGACCAGGGCCTTAGCTAGTTCTGAGTAGGAGGCCTCTGAGAGCAGCAGCTGATTACTTTACCAGTTCCCTTTGATGCTAGGTGACCATGTGACCTAGAGCATGTACTGCTGTGTTTTGAGCCTTTCTGCACCTGAAGCAGGGTAACGAAGATCAGGCATTGCTGGTGTGGCAACCAAGGACAGAAGACCTTTTCCTGGTGCCCCTCTGCCCCAGCAGTAGGTGGGGGCTGGTCATCAAACTCACTTTTAGAGCAAGCTTCTTAAGACTTGTTAGTGATCACAGTGTGATCCTGAAAAGTCCCTATGAGGAGGTCTTGTAAACTGAGGATATAATTACCATTCATTTCAGAGGGGATGTGTCTCTTTTCCTGCTTTCCCTGACTTATATCTTTTCTCTTTCTTTTAAACTATTGAAAATGCCTCCAACTTCCTTTACAGAGGGCATGGTCACTCTGCTTCTAAACACTTGTGCTTCTAACATAGTAGCTGGCACTCTCCTATCACTGACACTTCTGCCATATGAGCACCTCCTATTGTCTAGCTCAGACATGCTATAAATGTATACACAACTAGCTGTGCATACAGCAATTCTAGTTGATCCAACCTCCTAGAAAGAACACAAGCTTCATAAACAGGATGTAGGACCAAAGTTAGTAGATGGTGAGCATCAGGCTTTGAGACAATTGTAGGCAACCCAATATTGTGGGGAAAGCACTCTGAATGACCCTCTTACCCCTCCATACATTGATGGGGGGGCCTGTACTTTTAAGCCTTGCTAGCTTTCTTAATAAGGGCGGGTAGCTAGGTATTGGAGCCTTTCCTGCTCAACATCTCCTTTTGTTGAATGAGATGAAAATGATAGCAGTGGTCCATCAGGGAGGTGGAGGGCTCTGGAGCCAGGCATTCCTTACCAAAACTCAGCCCTGCTGTGGACAGCCATGGGACCCTGAGAAGGCCTTCAGCTTCCTCGACTCTCCTGGTGTTCTTTTGGCTGGATGAGGTTATGCCAGTCTGTATACTCAATTGGACTGGCCAGGAAGTATCAAGCATTCCTCCCAGTCTGCCCACTATTGCAGTGTTTTGCTGTGATGAGGATGGTGACTTCCTGTGAGACTCACTAATCTAACTCTTTTCCTAACCTTACCGTTTATTACCCCAGGTTCCCAGATCATTGATTTGATGATGCTCGTGATTGATGTGACCAAGGGAATGCAGACACAGTCCGCAGAGTGCCTTGTGATTGGCCAGATCGCCTGCCAGAAGCTGATTGTGGTGCTGAACAAAATAGACCTGTTAGCAGAAGGGAAGAGACAGGCAGCAATTGACAAAATGACCAAGAAAATGCAGAAGACTCTTGAGAACACCAAGTAGGTTTGCTAATGAGAGTTCATGTGTAAGGTGGCTTCTTGTTTAACACTCTGGGCAGGCAGGTCAGCCTCACATCCTGGAAAGTGGAATATGCCTGTTCACATAGCTGCTGCTGCATTAAGCAAAAACTAACATGCTTTTAAGGTTCCAGAAAGCAGTGGAACATAAGGAAATGGGGTGCCCTCGCTTATGGAAGAAGCACAGGTAGAGGCTGGTCCCCTCTGGTGAGCAGTCTTCAACCTGTCACTTCTGAACTCTGGTACATGCCCTTGTGTGTGTACCGAGAACCAGGTACAGGGCTATACTTTAGACTTTAGATGTGTGCCCAGCTTTCAAGGCCTTGGAACCTAGGGCATGGGTCCCATGCTGTGTTGCTCCATGAGAATCAGTCTCAGTGCTGGAGCCTGGGTATCATGCTCTCCAGCCACCTGCTTTGTGATGCCTCCACTGTCAACTCAGGACAAAAATTGCAGAGCCTTGCAAATGAGTGACTACTGTTGCTGGCTGCCAGAGCACTTGCAGCTTTAGAGAGAGAGGGAGACAGGAAAGGGGAGGGGGAGAGGGAGATCATGTTCCTAAGGAACTCTGAGCAGGGAGTAATCAAATGAAGTTTCACATTAGGCCATCACTGGCTACAGGGGGAAAGCTAGCCTAGTTGGTGGAATCAGGCCGCAGGAGAAAAAAAGAGGAAGTGGGTCAATGGGTTGTGGGGTTTTCCCAGGGAGAAAAAGGCTGTCTGTGGTTGAGGACATGTAAGAGAGAGGAGGTAAGATGTAAGAAAGATGGTAGGAAACCCCAGTTGCTTCTTTGCAGTTGAGGCAGCCAGGTATCAGAGCTATAGGCAGAGTTAGGAAGTAAGAGGTAGATATAAATCACAGGGCTATATAAATCGTCTGCTTGCTCAGGGGGCTACAGAACTGATTCTGATGTGGCCAGGAAAATGAGTATGTCACTTTGCTGAGCACACAGAACTAGCATGCCTTGTTGTTTGATTTCTGCCCCCTCTTCTCTCTCTCTCCCCCTTTCCCTCACTCTCTTCCTCTTTGCCTCTCTCCCTCCCTCCCTACCTCTTTCCCTCCCCCTCTATGATCATTCCTTTTGGTCAGTTCTGAAGAGCTGTCACTGGGAGACAGGACTTCTTCCTCTGTGCTATGCTGCCTGAGACAATATCCTCTTCCCGTGTCTCTCCTTCTCCAGCCTGTGGAGGGCAAGCAAGTAGAGAGTGTTTTTGTTTCCCTGTCATAAAGATTGATATGCCTTCCCATTTATGATTTTTTTTTCTGATCCAGCACCTGCAGCTCTCTCTCAGAATGCTCAAGTTGGTTAAATTAAAGCTTCAGCCCTGTGAATGGGCCATATATGTCATAAAAGATTTCCTTGCTCTGCCTTTTGTTAGCAAAATTCATCAATCTGATAAAATCGACACATTTAGATAAGTGTTGCATAAGAATTCAGACTTCGTTATTCCTAACGGAAGTGCATATGAGACTGTAAAAAGGAAGATAAAAATTATATCTTCTTTTTAGTGAGTTATTGATCTCCCTGCCGTTTGATTTACTTGTCAGAAAGGGGCGAGCACATTTTTGGAGACTTGCATAAACTTCCACAGTGTCAGTTCGCTTACTTCATGGACAGGGCATTCAGGAGTCCAAGGGCACTTCTGAAACACTTGCAGCTCTGACCAATCACAGGGAGGGGAGAGTTTTCTTTGCTTTTTAAGTCATCTTTCCTATTTTAATGTATTGGTTGGAGACCAAATTATGAATGTTACCATACTGAAAGAGGAAATTGTCCTTGGAGAGGTTTCTGAGCCCTTCCTCTCCTCCCATACCCAGAGGCCCAGCAGCAGAGGGCAGGGATGTTGCTTGTGGATGGAGTCTTGGGGCCTGTGCCCAGGCTGAGTTTTAAGAGCTCTGCTGCATCATTTTCAGTGGTCATTTCTTTCTGTTTGCTGTCCTTGTTAACTAAATGTCAGGAACAAAAATGTGGAATGGTGGACCCCAGCATGGTCAAAACCTGAAAAATCTTTAAGACAGAACTTACTTTTCTCTACTTGAAGTTTCAATTTTAATAGAAGACATTGAAAATAGAGAAAAAGTAGTTAAAAGACAGGACTACCTAATTTTTTTTTTTTTTTTAAAAAAAAACAGCAGCTACTGACATTTGGGCTTGAGATCACCTATCTTTTTGGATGTATAGCATTGCTCCCACACTCTTTGATCCCAGCACTTTGGAGGCTGGGGGCCGGGGTGGGGGAAGGCAGGGGTTAGAGTTTGAGTTCAGCTGGGATCACAGATATGTGACACCTATACTCTTCTAAGTTCTTTTGTTTTATTGTTGTTTGGTTTTCTAAGTTGTGGTAGAATACACTTGACTACCATTTTCCATCTGTAGGTGAATGATCCAATGACTGGTTGCATTCAGCATGTGTACATTCACCCAGACTCTCTATGATCCTTGTCAACTAATCCCAGGCAGTACCTCTCCTACCCACCCTTTGCCCCCTCCCCCTCCTCAGACTCTTTTCTGCTCTCTGACCGGTAGTCATGTATGGATTCGATAGAGCATTTAAGTTTTGACTCTGTTACAGCTGTATCAGAATACTGTTGCCAGGGCTTAGCCTGCTTTGTTATATTTGTGCTATGTGTTTATCTTCAACTTCCCACCCTTTTCCCGCCATTGATGGGCTGTGGGCTACTCTCAGCTGCTGGAATGCTGAACTGCTGTGAACTCCGACTTCAGTCCTTCTGGAGCTATGTGCCCAGGTATCTATGAGTTGGAGCAGGCTTGTTTGGGAGACCATAGCTATCCTTTCTGAGGCATTGCTGAGCTGCCCCCATAGTAGCTGTCCTATTCACAATCCCAGCAGCCATATGTGAGGGCTCTTGGGTGTCCATAGTCTCTCAGCACTTGCTGTTTTCCTTGAGGTAGGGTCTCACTATGTACCCTAAGCCTCCCTGCAACCTACAGCAAAGCTTTTGCCCCCGCCTCTTACTCAAGTGCTGAGATTATAGGTTCAGACCACCACATCTGGTTTTTTGCATTTCTTCCCTAGCCGTCTTTGCTGTGTAAGAGGTCACCTTACTGCAGTTAGAGTTTGCATTTCTGTTGTGGCTGGTGCTGAGCATGCTGTTGGTCACCTCTATATTTTTGTAAATAGCTGATTATATCGTTTGTCAAGCTTTAAAATGAGTTGTTTCTTTCATTGTTGAATTGTAGGCCTGCACATTCATCTTATCTGAGATAGGATTTAAAAGTATTTTCTCTCATCTTGTAGGCTTTTTACTTTCTTGAATATACACAAGTTCTGAATCCTGGTGAAATCTCATTTACCTTTTGTTGCTGCTGTCATCTGTGGTTTTGGAGTTATAGCTGTGAGACTGTTGTCAAATCCTATGTTAGGAATGTATTCCCTGGGGTCTTTTTCTAGCTGTGGTTTTAGCTCTTATGTCTGGGTTGTTGGTTCATTTAGGTATCTTCTACAGTGGTGTGAGGTAAGAGTTGAGTTTCCTTCTTTTGCATGTAGCTTTCTAGTGTTTTCCAGCACCATTTATTGAAACAATACCCCCCCTTTTTTTTACTCATTGTTAACAAATTAACTCACTATGTAGACTTAGCCCTTGGCTTTCTGCTCTTGTATTAGCTACTTTTCTTCTGTGGCTGTGATAAAATACCAGGACCAAGGGCCCTTATGGAGGGAAGAGTTTATTTTGGCTTACTGTTCCAGAGGGATAAGAAGAATCCATCATGGCAAGGAGGCATGGCATCAGAGGTGGGAAGCTGAGAGCTCATGTCCTCAAATGCACAAGCTGGAAGCAGAGAATGTAAACAGAAGAAGCACAAGGCATTTGTTCCCAAAGCCAACCCCAGTGATGTACTTCCTCCAGTATGGTTGCACTATCTAAGCCTTGCCAAACTGTGCCACAAATTAGGGGCCAACAAAGCAAAATACTAAGCCTATGGGGGAAATTCTCATTCAATCCACTGCATCTCATGCAATCCACTGCAATTCAATTCCACTCACCTAGATTCCTCATATGGGAGTCCCTCACCACTTTGACGGCTAGCTTTGAGGTGTGTTTCAGAGTCAGGAAACAGTCCTCATAGCTCTGACCCTTTTTGAAACTATTCTGGCTGGTTGGAACTTGTAGAATTCTGTATAAATTTGAGGATCTGCTTTTCCCTGCCTCTGAAAAGCTGCTGAAGTTTTGATAGGGATCTAAGGTACCTTCGGTACATTTGATACCTAAACAGTATTCTCTCCCAATCCACAAACACTGAGCGTCTCCCCATCTGTCTAGATCAGTGGTTCTCAACCCGTGGGTTGCAACCCCTTAGGAGGTGCCAAATGACAGTTTCATAGGGGTCACATATGCAGTATCCTGCATATCAGATATTTACATTACAATTCATAACAGTAGCAAAATTACAGTTCTGAAGTATGGTTGGGGATCAGGACAACATGAGGAACTGCATTAAAGAGTCACAGCACTAGGAGGGTTGAGAACCACTGGTCTAGAGCTTTGATTTCTTTCTTCAGTGTTTCATAGCGTTCATTGTTCAGGTCCCTCCTGTAGATGGATTCATACCTGTTTAATTTTGTAGAGATTTTTGCAAATGCAGACACTTTTAGTTTCACTTTGGGTTGTTTATCTCTAAAATATGAAAACAACTAATTTTTATATGTCAATGTTATATGAATTCAACTCCTTTAAAATAATAATTGTAATCATGCCTCTTTTTTGTTTTTGTTTTGTTTGTTTGTTTGGTTGGTTGGTTGGTTTTTTTTCAAAACAGGGTTTCTCTGTGTAACCCCAGCTGCCCTGGAACTCACTCTGTAGAGCAGGCTGACCTGGGACTCACAGAGCTCTGCCTGCCTCTACCTCCCAAGTACTGGGGTTAAAGGCATGCGCCACCACACCTAGCTAACATGGCATATTTTTGATTTTGTTTTCTGTGTTTATTAATGTTTTACCTAGCAGATTCGTAAGTAGCTAGC